GTTTGTTCTCTTCTCATTGATAGATTCAAGCTTATCTAGTAAGGTGTGAAGTAGTTCATACATATAATTACCTAATGACTTGGCTGTAAAATCTCATCTCTGACTTGAAACTGGCATATGGAGATGTATTTTGAAATTGGTCTCTAAGTGCATGATCTGTAAATGCTTCTACTTGCAACTCTACTCTTGTGAGATGATTCCAGTGAATTCATGATCCTATTTAAAGTTTATTTGAAAAACAGAGGGTTTCAAACCTTTGGGAAGGCTTACATGAACGTGACTCACCCAGCTCCCTCAGTGTACCAAAAAGCTTCCTCCTGCACTCCTCCAATTTTTGACTGCCACCTCCTTCCATTAAATATGACAATGAGCATTTAACAGGGCAGGATTTGCACATAAGCTTAACACATAATTGAGCAGTTTGCTCCCTAAAATACTGCCACCTACTTTTTACCCCTATAATCTCCCATAGCCCAAGACAGAAGGAAGACATGCTTTTGGGGATGCAGACCCCAGCTTCAAACTTCCACAGGCTGATTTTGGTTGCCAGGGCTCCCAGTCATAGCTTCTAAAACACAGCGACTGGCAACAGATGACTATCAATGGGTCTCTAGTGTTTCTTCACAGATTCAGTCCCTCATGTCCATTAACAACCCATCCCAGATCCCAAAAAGAGGCTGAGCTGCTTAATTTTGTTTGAACAACTAGATACTTTTTCCATTCATTTTTTTCTCTCCAAGAATGAGATTTTCAAATCCTTTGCGCTGTTTTACCCTTCATTAGCAACACCTCCTTCTGCTCTAATTTCTGGAGGTCATATCACTGTTTAGTTCTATTTTTTCCTCTGTTCTTTCAGCCTTTTTCTTATATGTACATATAATCCTGACTGAAATCTACTATAGAAAGGCTTGACCCAAAAACTAAAAAAATTGAGGAGCACCCATCTGGGGTGAAAAGACATGGTTTATAGTTGCTTACAGTCAACTTAGATGGTAAAAAATAACCTCTGTGATGATCTCTGATACTTGGGTACCCTTAACAACAAGAGTTGTTACAAGAGTAACAACTATTTCCTACTGTGACACCAGTGGTTCTGTGGATCACCATGTGAAAACCATCTGCCCAGCTGACTGCTTCCTTCTCCTCTAATTTTACCAAGGTATCTCTTTTTAAGTCATACAAAAACCAGAAATATGAGGTGAGTGGGTGAAATGGGATGGTCTTTTAATGCAGCCTACACTGGACAATTTAATGCTCCTTTCTGGCATTAAAGTCTTCATTGTATCCAGGTACTTCCACTTGGATAACCAAAGCAGAGGGTTTAATTAGGCCACTATATTTAGAACCAGAGCCTGCAACATCCCGCTGCATTCAATATTTGTAAAAACAAGCTTATGTAAAAGCTAAAATCATTAGAAAATATTCTGATTTTTTAATCTTTCATTATGCACCTTCTTAAACACTTCTTAAATTCCTTTAAAACATAAATATTATAAAGCAAAAACTGTAAAAAATAATAGATTGCTAAAAAAATTTTTAAAGCATGACCGGTTTATTTTCTTTTATTCAAAGAGTAGAGATTATGAAAAATAAGAGCACTATGGCTCCAAGTTTTGTAGCAGACACAAAGAAAGGAGCCATCTAACCAGACCGTTAACATTGAATTAGTAACATCAGCATCTTGAAAAATTTAGCCAGTGACTATTTAGAGCTCTATGCACCTACACAGAGAACACATGAACACACACATGCTCTTCTAAATATAGAGGAAAGTTTATTTACTCCTAATGTATCTTAAATTGTGTTCTATGGAGTCCATGTTGATGGTATTACATTACCATTGCCATATTCTCTTTCTTCTTTTCAGGTTCTATATTGCATTCAAACAAGCTACAAATAAATACTTTCCTGATTACCTCTGCTAAGAGAGCAATTGATGTAGTTGGAAAATTTTGTCTTTACAGCCAGAGCTCACTTATACCACTTGAACCCAGTTCCTGTGGATCTCCCAACTGGTTACTTAGTAGGTTAACACCAGGATTCAAGTGATCAAGTGATCTGAGTAAGTATATGCTACAAGGGAAAATCTCATGAGACAGTTTCTTTATGAAGGCTGCTTTGTGGTACACTGGAAAAAAAAAAAAAAAAAAAAAGGAGAGAGAAACTACTAATCCTGTAGATCCTGGATATGTAGTTAAAAGCGGTATTACAGATGAAATGTCAGAATAAATCCTTCTTCATCCAGAAAGATAAGTTAATACAAATTTCAGAAAGCACGTTTTTTATACCTTAGTCACTCAGAATTTTAATGTAGTTCCCAGGCTGAATCAGAAGCCCAGGAGTCCTGGTGTTAATTTAAAGATCACCAAAATAGCAATTCTTGCCCTCCTAACTGCAGCAGCCCTAAGAGCTGCAGCTCTGCAACTGGCCTGAGGCCCAAGAGAGTCTCAGACAGAAGCTATAACACGAATCATTCCCTTCACCAATGCATGGCAAATTTCACTGCTATTTAGCACAATCAGTGTTGGAGTCCTGACCAATTTCTCCAGCTGGTAGTTTTTCCAATGAGAAGAAATAGGCAATTCTCTTTTTTGTAGGGAAGCAGACCTTGCCTCTTAAAGCCTGAAGGGAGATGATGAAATGGGCACAGGGACAGGTGGATAGGCAGCTCCACTCCTTCACCACAAGGTCTGTGTGCCCAGGTGGCCACGGGCTCAACAGCCATAGTAAAAAAAGTTTCTGCTGCACAGCTCTGGAGGGGCTTCCCTCTCTTCTTACCCCAAGTACAATCCCACCTTACCACCCCTTTATGTAGTACGTGGGAGCTTGCACCACTTTAGCCAAGCAACTGCCTCAGAAGAAAAACCAAACAAGCTACTTCTGAAACAGTGCAACCTCTCCAGCAGTCTCATTGCCACATACTCACCAGTTTGGGGTCCTATGAGAAGGCAGTATAGCAAGCTGGGAACACAATATGACTTGTAGTGTTGTAGGACGTGCACTTTCATCATCACTGAGTATAGGGCAGAGGTCCTTGACCTATCCTACAGCTCTGAAGGTCTTTGTATAAGCTAGTCTTTCAAAAGCCCCGCAACCTCCATTACTTTAAAACTCATGCCTAATGCTTTTTCTGTCTATTAATTCCTATACAAATCCATAATTGTTTTCTTGTTTGTCACAAATCCCTTACTTTGAAAGAAAAAGAAGTGTTTCAGTTACAAATGCTCTGCTGGCTTTAAGCAAGCTGGGATGCTCTGCAACGGAATCACATGGTACTCAAGGGTGGTACATCCAGAAGAGGTTCTCAATTCTCAAGATAAATGGTGAACCAAGAGTTCATTTTCATTCTTGAGCATTCTGCCTGGGGAAGTAAACCTAACAACCAATTGATCATCAGCAACTGAAAACCTCTGGCACATATGTTCAAACATGTAGCCACTCTGAAATGGCTAGGTGTCACTGTCATAGCAGCCACTAACACTCAAGCACACTCACTTGAAAATGAAATCAGACAAAATGATGCTTTGAAGTGAACTGACACACTAAACCACATGATCCTGGAAATGAAAACAAAACATCTGCTATCTACTATCCCATGGTACTCAGAACAGGACAAAACACCACTCACAGCTCTGAATGTCTTCGAGCTTGGCAATGAAGTTGCCAATTGTCAGAGTTTCCTCTCAGGTACACTTTGTACATGAACAGCATGAAAATGTAGCACATAGAATTGCTGATGGAGAAACATTTAGTCCGGGATTTGCAGTAACTCTAAGTAGGAGGATGGTGCATTGTTCAGCAAGCCATTCGTAACAGAAATCATGTTGTGAAATGGAGATGAGATCAACCACATCCCGTGATTTTCACAACATCCTCGTGGAGGCGATGTATTTAGGGCATATAGCAAACTTTTTATAATTCCTTGCTTTGGAGAAATAAAATCTTCCATAAATATAAAGACAAATTGCAATAAGTATATATGTTCTTGTATTTCAACTATCAAGCACCACCACCCTACCATATGGTACAAAAGTTCTTCTGATTGGGAAATTGGGAACACAGCAACCCAAGAAACTCAGAAAATCATGTTAGAAAATTAATAATCTTTACATTATTAAAATGTAATGAACAGATACATTAATCTAGAAGTGGAAAAAAAGCGCATGGAAAAGCTTTAGACAGGAGGAATAATCTGAAAGTTTCTACTGTTGAAAAGAACTTTTGCTTAAGTCTACAAGGTACCACACAAGCACACCATCTCAGTTAATGTCTCTTTCCTTTCATCATGTATCCAGCTTGTTTACTTTAAAAGAAAACTTAAATAAGTTTCTTTCACTTCAAAAAGGAATAAAACACAATGACGCCAAGGCTGAAAGTCCACATAATAATATCTAGGCCCAAGGGAATTGCTCCAGCCAAGTTGTGAACCTATAAAAATAACGGAGATACTATAATGAAACACTTATGATTTCACTTGCATGCAGCAAGACAGGGAAGTGTAACACTGCCCCTTACCACAGCCATGAAGTAATACTGTTCAGCAGAGTTTTATGATAGGTACCATTAGGCTGTCCATACAAAAATCATCACTTTTCTGACATTCAAATTCTTCTACACTGACTCCAGACCAAAAAGAAACTACAACACGCACTTAGACTGAAAACACCTGGAATAAAACCTACTAACTGCGCAACAACTTGGACTTCAAAAATAGACTGAAATGAAATCACCTTGAGATCAGCAAATCTGTAGAACTGTCACCAATATAAACAAGACTTTTACATAAAAATAAAAATCAAATCCTGCCTAGGTCAGCATAAAATACCCAGGGCTAGCAATATACCACAATAAGCTACAGCCATAAGCCTCATGCAGCCATTACACATAAATAAAATAAAATCCAGAAGCTCAAATTCAGTATGTCCTACAGACTTCACCTCCAGCAAAACTTCATTAAACAAGGATTTCATTCCCCATCACAAAAAAAGAGTGGACAATACCTTTGTCTTCATGTCTACCACACAGTTTTCAAAAGTCGGGTTCTCCTTGTTGCATTCACCACATTGGCCAGATCCTTCTGATTCATTGGAAGCTGCAGGCTAAAGAGCAGGGTGGAAAAAAACATAAATAAAGTAACTGAGATGTGTGCTTTAATTCAATTACATTTAAACATAAAGATTATCATGTACACACAAAAGGGTAAACTGAATTCAGGTAAGTATCAGGTGGCTTATACAGAAGATTGTCACCTCCATGTTTTTTCATGCAAAACTTTCTGTGTTGAATCCTACAGGCACTCTCATGGAAGTCTGTGAAAGTCTTAAAAGGCTAAATCTGCAAGATGATGCTTATCATAGCCTCTGTGTAACTTCAGAAGGCATTCAAGGTGCTCTGCAGCTCTCGACAACAGAACATAAAGATAAGGAAGTAAATCAGTACCCTGGCCAAAAGACCTGCTGACCATGATGGGGGTCTCCTCTGGAGTACCTGCAGGAATTACATCTCCTTACAGCAACAAATTATCTAGTTTGTTTTCTTATTTCTAATTCATGACATTCTCCTAAGTGAAACATTTTTTATAAGGTTTCATGCTTGACTAGTAATCATATGTGTAAATCTTTTAAATTCAAATGCATTTTTTTTTGTTACTTTTCTTTCACTTACACAGATTTTAATCTTACGTTGCTTACACAAAACCCTCATAAAACACACAGGATTTCTTTAAATAATATATTTGGCAGAAGACATAGTAAATGGCTGTATTTGTTTTTTTCAATTTTCCTTCTGGAAATCTAATATATTACTGTAGATTTTACATTTAGACAGTAAATATTACAAATGACATCTCTGTTTACAATGCTCTGCCCTGCAATAATGTGCTTGAAGAGTCAGCCTTTGAATGAAATGTGATGACTGCCTCTAACTTGGATCTCAAAAAATTTCTGAGCACTCTGCAAAAGCACAAACAGGAAAGCAGGGAGGATTCAAACAGAGTTTAGTGTCTTGTGTCTGTGGGTGCCAGGCACTGCAAGCACCCTGAGTGATTTAGACCCATCCTGTTTTAGCCTGTGCAGGCATCCCGCAGGAGTGCAGTCAATTTTAACACAACAGGCAAGAAATTGTTAGCATTTTAAGTAGAGCAGCCTTTGCCAGCACAACTTAAAAACAACAAGCCAGTGCCACAGAAGCAGCCAAATCACACTCGCATGTGCAAATGTTCTGTCCTCTGATCCTTGGTTGTTTATTTAGGGCTCTGTCCAGCAAAAGACTGAGTGCTGGCCCCAGTCCAGCCAACTACTTAGACTCGTGCTTCTAGCTTCACTGGAACCAATGGATGAGTCTTGTGCTCCAGTAAAGACTGTGTTTAAAGGTTGGATCAGGCCCAGCAGCTCAGCATTACATGGGGCTAAGTATACAGGACTCCACAAGTTCTCTCTGAGGTTACATGGAGAACCACTATTCCCTTGGCTGGTTTCTAGTCACCAAAGGGTGTTGAATATCTCTCATTTGTAATATGGAAGGGAGTAAGGGATGGAAAGACAACAAGGCCAAAATTTTCAAGGACAGCAAGAAACTGAACCCAGATCTTGCCTCAGAGCCTACAGAAAATCCAAGAAACTCCCTGAATGTTTCTTTTAGGAAGAGAAAATTGGTTTCACAAGGAGCTAAAAAGTATGCATAAAATTTTCACTTCATCTTTGCTTTCTTTGAATACCTGACATAAATGTTTCTCATTGTTACTATTTACAGGCAACAGTATAAACTCTTCAAATCAATACATTATTTATTTGTTCTAATCATCAAGACGTAAAGGATCCTGATCCTAAAAGAGCTCAGCTCCTGCAACTTCTCTAAATGGGTTTGATAAGCTTCAGCAGAAACTTCTATGGTAACATTTATCAATTGAGTGCAGCTGCAAACAGGATAAGAAACTTACTTTGTTTACATTCTACATATTTTTTCTCAAATTTTTCACCATTAGTTGGCTCCAATGTTTTGAAAGAACAAAAAGTAATGTCATAAGATGCTATGAAATGTTTCCATTGTTTTCCTTAGGGAAATGGGTCACAAATTCATTGTAAAGAGCAGAAAATCAAGGACATTAGGGGGGTTCAAACAGTCCAAGCAAGAGTAATTGTAATAAATCTGGAACATCTCTCTGTTCCAGTGTGTTAAAGTTCAATAATCATTAGCAAAATAATATATGGTCTCTCAACCTAAACAAAGCATACGTTAGTGATCTATCTGAACACCAAGAGACATTTAATTCTGTTTTATGAAATATGTGGGACTCCATAATCCCAGAGACAGAAAGAATACTTGCTGTGCATTGTGACAGATTTATTAAAAACTAAGAATCTTGGATTCGAGTATTTTCTTATTCTCGATTACATACAACTTCCCTTTGGAGGCCAACAAAAAGTCTGTTCTGCTTAAAATTATTTGCATACTTTATAGCCAAAAGCTGCCTGCCCATCCAAAGGAAGTGTTTCAGCAACACCTCATTATTCCTAAACCATGACCAGGAGATGCAGAACTGGCAGCCCCAACATGAGACACTACAAATTCAGTGGACGACATGCACCGTGCTCACACATCCTTGCAGGAGGTTCTGGAAATAATGACTTCAAGCTTGAACTACAATTACTGCCCAAACTATAGACTTTTTATCACACCCCTACATCTAGAGGGCTGGTAGTTGGAACAACTCTATCTCCCTCTTCAAAGAAGAAAGCATGATATTATTCTCTTCAAACTGGTCAGAGAAACAGAAGAGATTTCACAAGCAAATGTTGCAAGGGCAGGTCAAAATTTCACTTGGTAACTTTACTCACATGGTTAGTAACCATGAGACTTGCAGATCACACCTAAAGCAACCTTCTAATTTTGTGCATAATTAACACTAATCTATTTCAATTATAATTAACAGATGCTATTTAGACCATAACCTCCTTCAGCATGTGTCTTTCATTGTGCAAACTCACACCGTTATATAAACATTTATTAATAAAATAGTAACCTACATTGCCTACCTTGCTAATTTTATCTAATTTTTACAGTGCTCAATTAAGTTTTTCTGTGCTTATAACACATCTTGCAGGTAGCTTTTTAGGACATGCACAATTGACACAATCAACTGACAATAAAACTCTGCCTAATTACTTTCTGCCAAAGTACACAGATACGAGTTATGAAAGACTAAGTCACCAGTTCCACTTTCAGCAGGCAGCAGGTTCCAGTTCATGTCTGAGCCAGCAACCAGACAGAAGGAGCATCTGCCCTCACAGGCAATTATGGCATATGAGGTTTCCATGAGTTTCTATGGGAGTTCCTCCTACAGCAGCCAAGCCATGATATATAATGGTGGATGAATTCCCCAGTCTAGCGTAAGAATTTATAGAATTTTCAGAATTTATACCGGATATATCAATAGGAGGAACTTATAACCATCCCCAATAGCCACCACATGTTTATTTCTTGGGGTGAAGCCCAAGGTTGAGAATATAAAAAATATTAAAAAAAAAAAAACAGGAAACATAAGTGCAAACTTTATTCTGCTCTTCTACAGTCTAAGATATTGTTTCCAGGACTATGCATTTATTTATACATATGGAATATTTTCTAGGGCAGATGTGGCTAGAAAAGGCTGATCAGCTCTATAAAGGGCCCAGGAGAGTGGGTGGAAGTGTGAGGAACTATAATCCATGAGCCCAAATAAGTGTGCAACTGCCTTAGGGCTCAGAGAGTTAATGCACCTACCCCTACAGCCACTAGCTTGGGGAACACTCTCCTCTATGCTTTTCGCGAGAGAAATTCAAAACAGAGGCTGCCCGAGATGTCTTTGGGCACTTTGGATCACCAGCTGGGAGCTCTGCTCCAGTCTCATGAGAGCCTGTCAATAAATGCCTGCTTGCTCCAAGTGATTTGTATGAGGAGAGGAAAGGAATAAAAAACCCCAGTGACTTGTTAACTTTTGGATGCTGATATCTGTCAGGAAATTGATCATCCTGGTAACCAAATGCACCCAGAAACATAAAGTGCTGAGAGATACTGCCTGTATTTAATTAACTTTTCTACAGCAAGCATATTTGAAAATCATTAGAACATCTAAAAAGCTACATTTCAACATAATATATGCTGGAATTACCCATTTTACAGGACACTGATGTAAATTAATTCATTCAGCAGCTATGCTGGAGCAACCTGAGCTGAACTGAGACGCTCAGCAGGACGCTGCTACTACCAAAGAACAGAGCACACCTCTGTGCCAGGTACAGCCAACCTGCTCACGCTCTGCTCAAGCTGTGTGTGAACCAGAGCTGGAATCAAGTCAAATTCATCCTTTACAATGTGCCAACAACAGCACGAATGCCTTCTGTGCCTGTGATCTGTCCTCCAAGCTCTGCACCTTTCTGCCATACCAACACAGAGTTGACCGCTCTCCTAAATGTGCTGTCAGCATCACTGGACCACAGGGAAAAAATAAATAAATAAAAAATAAATAAATGAGCATTGGACAGGGTGTGGCAGACAAAGCATCACTGAGGGCTTGATGAGTTTTTCCTGCAATGTCATGCAGAAAATAATCCTAGAGACCATAAGATGATGTGCTTTGCTAGTCCTATTTCTATGCCTCTTATATTCCTTATTACAGGAAGAAATGTCATTCAACAAATTTTTTTGACAGGATATGACTTAGATTAATATCACTGAAAACTCAGACAATTCCAGAGCAGGCCATGCTAGAAATTAAAATCAGAAATATAATCCCACAGAAGTCAAGCAGTTTAATTTGCTTCAGCTGGGCCTAAATTTCAATCCAGAAATAATATAGCAGAGCTTTCTTTTCTAATTCAGTATTTCTAAGGCCCTATAGAAAGGCATAGTTCCATGTCAAATGATTTAGATGTAAGAAAGGATTTTATTTCCATGTTAAGGTTTCTTGTTCGTTTTTTGATGACATCAAGGTTTGCTCCACATCACATTGCATTAGCTCAGACTTTGCAGCTGTCTTAAGTCATGGTGATGTTGTAGTGCACTATGAGGTCTCATGGCTAAGCCCTGAAACAATGTCCTTCAGTCCCTCCTGCACCAGTCT